ACCCACAGACCCCGGTTGTCTGTGGGCGGGATCGAACCTGGGACTTCTGGAGCTAAATGCATGAGCCTCTACTACGTGAGCTAAAAGCCACATGGCCCTTAGCTAAGGTTGTAGAGCAGACTCATTAATCTCTCTCTAAGTGGTCTTGGTGCCCACTAGATGGGACAGAACACCACACCCAGGAGGTGTGTAGGTTACATTAGCAGTCTGCATCAGCTGAAGTATCTGAGCTGCTTCATTTACTCCGGTTAGCTATGCACATGTGCAAGAGTGAGCTGGGTTCCATTCTGCCTCCTCTATTCTCAGCAGAAATGCCGGCTACGTTCCAGTTGCGCCTTCTTAGACTATGAGGCGGAAATCTGGACACAGCTGGATTTTCACATCCCTGGCTTAATATGCAACCGTGGCAGTGAGAAAAAACTACTTTGATTTGTGAACCGAGCGCATTTTAAATGAGACTAAATATAGAACCCCACAGTGTCATTTTACAATCACATTTCCAAAATTACATTTTAAAGAGTAACTTACATGACCTGGACACCAGGAGGCCCTGCCCCTATCTGGTGATCTGACAGCTGCACTAACAGACACTTCTTCAGTGAACGACACTAAGTGCAGCTCATCATGAGACTGACAGACAAGTCACACATGCTGGTTTTGCATGTTCTAGAGAATTAACACAATGGTACGTTCCAGTTCATACTCCTGCAGGGAAGAAGGTTCTCACTGCTTTTCTGCAATTCTGTTGCTGTGATTCTCCCCGCATATATGAAATTACCCAAAACATTTGCACGGGTGCTAGCTCAAAGTGCATCTGAATTACTGTGGCTTTGCCCAGTAAGAAACTTTCTTCCCTTTCCTCTTTCTTCATTCAAGAACGCAGCAGAAGCAGGAACATGAGTGAGATGGGATCATGGCTGAGGGCAGAAAGCCCCGCAAACTAGGGGCTCTTTTGAAAGTCACCCCGTTTTTCATTTCTTATGCTGAGTAATTTTTAACTCCTTCCTGCTACTATATTCTAAGGCAGGGGTTCTCAAACTGGGGGTCGGGACCCTCAGGGTGAGGTTATTACCTGGGGGGTCACAAGCCGTCAGCCTCCACCCCAAACCCTGCTTTGCCTCCAGCATTTATAATGGTGTTAAATATATAAATATATAAAACACTTTGAATGGTCTCTTGCAACATATGTTAACCCCTTATCTGTTCCACCTTGTATTTAGCTGTGATTCTCTGAGTACTATCCCAGCCCTGAAGAAGAGCTCTGTAAGTTCAAAAGCTTCTCTCTCACCAACAGAAGTTGGTCCCATAAAAGATATTACCTTGCCCACCGTGTCTTTCTTATGTTGATGATGTAATTTAGTTTCTTGCAAACATTTCAAAAGATAGGGTTTTTTTCCTTTTTCCTTTCAGCCCAAGTACTTTGAATGGTCTGATTTAAACCCAGTGAGCCTGGTTTTCTCATTTACATCAACTTTACACCAGTGTGAGAAGAGAACCTAGTGCACTTCTGGGAACCTCCTGTAGAATGTACCAAGAAACAGAAGACAATTTGTAGAAAGGAAACATGGGCTGGAAGAACTAATGTAGGGAATTCAATATAGCTTGGTGAGGAGACTCAGAGGTGCTGTGTCAATCAGCAAACATCTAACTGGCAGGAACACTGAGCAGTGGATCGGGCCGGGTGCTACGGGAAATCATAAATAAAAGTCATGGCATGGAATTTCAGAAAACCTCTGGCCATACTAGACATCACAGATAGCAAAAGTTAGACCCCCGCCTCTGTTGTATGTGGAGAATCCTTCGTTTCTGAACTGCAGTGGTGGTGATATATGCAGCTGTGTGTGTGTAACTGGCCAGGTGTGAGCTGATAATACGCAGAATGGCACATGACCCCCCCTGCCTCCCACAAATGGTTTCAAGGGGTAGCTGGTCAACCCCATTGATAAATATTCCAGCACAAAGAGGAAAGCAAAGAGAGTTCTCACAGCTTGGTCATGCCTACTTTGCTTTACATTAAAGCCAAGCACAGAGGACAGCCTCCTGGGCTTCAAAGCCTCAGCCTGACACATCAGCTGCTGCTGCCTCTCCGCGCCAGGGACAGTTCTTCACCCTGTTGCTTTCCCCATCTCCCCAGTGGCCTGGTGCTAGCGGAAGATAATTAGACATCAATTATCATCGGTTACATTTTCACATGTTTCCCATGCAAATCCCTGGCACATCTAGTGGGTTCTGGCCCATCCCCCGAGCAGCTTTTGGAGTCAGAAATCGATCCTTTGCCTTCTGGTTCGCATATGTGCTGGTGCTAGGCCCCCTCTAGGTGAAGTACTTACCTTACAGCACCTGCAGCGTGGCAGATCAAACGCTGCATTTCTTTATGGGGGATGACTGATTCCCGGCATGGGTACTTGTCCTTCCTTCCGCATGGGTTTCACTGGGAGAGGGATAAGCTGCTCATCATACCCACATTAGCCATGAGTGATTGCCCTGCAGTAGGTGTCATTGAAGTGAGTGGGAACCTCTCGTGACAGCTACAGAGAATCCAAAGAAAGAGGAAGAAAATGGAGCAGGGTGGAATGTTTTTTATTATTATTATCAGGACACAGCCCCATTAACACAGTCACTGCAGGTGTCTCTACAGCCTCCTCCTTTAGTAGCTGGCTCTTCTACCTCCTTTCTCCTGTTGGCAATAGAAGGCTGGTTGCAATTGCACTCTCCTGGTACTGGGCTATTCCCCAGGTGGAGCTATGGCATTGTGTAGCACAGGCTAACCCTGTTTAACAAAGCTCACTTCACCTGACCAGACTTTGTTGGCTCTGGAGAATTCATCCCCTCCTTTAAAGAAAACCACCCAAAGTGTCCCAATCACCACATCTCACATAGGGAAGGGTGCCTCACTACAAATTATTCTTAAAGTGCCTTGAATACAATAGGGAAAAAACAAACAAACCCAATCATGGTGGCCTTTTGGGAAGATGCTTTTGCCAGACACATGTTATCTGTCTCAATATGGAGGTAACTGGATGACATTTAATAGCCTGGGATCTACAGGAGGTCAGACTAATGACCTAATGGACTTTTGGGGCCTTCAGCTCTGAATATATGTATCAGACCAGAAGTCACTCTCTGGAGAGTTCCTGCGGGCACAGGAGTGCATGGGAAATCAAGAGACTTCCAGAGTAGTTCTAAATAAGTTCTATTCTGTTCTTTTCTTTTTTTAAAGGACAGTGCTGATTAAGTCTTAAAAGAAATGAGTTAATTGAACGTATGGTGCAATAACTTTGAACATTTCCTGCCTTGCTCATGGATTCAGCTGGGATCTGCGTTTCCTGTGTCCCCCTCCTATATCAGATGGAACTCCTTGCTGTCAAGGATCAGTAAAATGCCAACTCCTACTGATGCACACCCAGCACCAGTCGCAGTTACGGAGATACTGGAGTGAAGGCAGGTATCTTGGAAAGCTCTTCTGCAAACACGTTATACGCCTGCACACACAGACACACACACATATTCGGATTTAGCAGATAGTTATTTCTATTAATAAGACTGTGTCCTCTCTGAGCAGTGGGTACATTTTCATGAATTAAAAGCACAAATCACAACCATTGTAGCATCATGCTGCCACACCTTTCAGTCTCTGGGAGCCTTCCTTTCCCTAACTACCACGATAACAGAAATAATAGCTGTCATGGAAGCACTAATCCATAGATGTCAAAGGGCCAGATTCTGATACTACTATTAATTATCTGCGTTAGTGTGACACCTACGAGACCCGTCATGGAGCAGGACCCAGTTGCGCTAGGTGCTGTACAGACACAGAGCAAAGAGAAGGTCCCTGCCCCAGGAGCTCACAATCTAAGTATAAGATAAGAGACAACAGATGGATACAGACCAACAGGAAAGTGCAGGGAAACAATGAGACAGTATTGGTCAGTACAATAGGCAGAGATCCCAGCACACTAGCTGATGTGCTCTTAGCTATGTCCATACAGCAGCTGAGAGGGTGCTTCCCAGTGCGGGTGGACAGATATGGGCTAGCTCTGCTTGAGCTAGTGTGCTAAATAGAGCAGTGTAGCCATGGAGGCATGGGCAGCAGCTTGGGCTAGCCAGCCCGACTACAAGCTTGTGTGACCCCTGCGTACATTCGTGGATAGCCCAAGCAGCTGCCTATGTTGCCACAGCCACATTGCTATTTTTAGCATGATAGCTCAAACAGAGCTAGTGTGTGTCTGTCTACCCACCCCGGAGATCACCCTCACCAGCCTGTGTAGACATACCTTTAACTCTGGTTTAGTGGAACCTTATTCCATGAGGAGTCCTGTTGACTAATGGGAGTACGGTGATTCCGAATGGCAATAAGGATGTCAGAATCTGGGCCTCAGGTACCAGACCAAATCACTTCACAGGCTTCCTTGAATTTGGAAGTTCTCATGAGGATTTGCCCCAAGCCAGGGGCAGTGTGTTGGGAAGTGAAAAGGAAGGTTCATGAAACACGCACGCCTGGGGCAGTCTTTTATTGTGCATGTCGAGATGTTTCCCGGAAGGGGCGTTTGGGTAGAAAACATTCCCTGGTGTCCACTGAAGGAGGCCTGTTGGCCGGGACCATCGTGATCAGGTAGGCTGAAGACACCAATACTGACGTGGCAGTAACACTGATCCATGGCGAGCGTTTCAGACTCTTGGTTCAGTTCATGGAGAGAATCTCTGGGTGGCAGTGACCAGCTCAGCCCTAAAAGGAGCAGTCACAATTTATGCCTCAGGATGACCATTACAAAAAAAGAGAGAGATGATTGTTTATTTCCAGATGAATTTAACATTGACGTGACCATCAGTTCTGTTCCCCAAATAGCTTGAGCTGCCTTATGGGATGGAGTTCCTCCTGCTTGTCTCTCCTTTCAGGGATGGAGCTGAGGCTCCTGTGGGAACTGGAGCACCCATGTCTTCTGAACTGGACCGAGCTCTGGCACGGATCGTCTCCCTGATCGTCTCTGAACTCTCCCAGTAAGCGCATTCCACTTTCAGCTCCTGCATGCTGGTGTGCAGCTGTAACAGCTTCTCCAGCAGCTGCTGATCCTGGAGCTGCATCTCTGACTGGAGCAGGGCATAAAAATATATATATATAGCAACGATGCTGAGTCTTTAGCACTGAATCAGTCTTTGGTTTATGAGACTCTTATTCCATCCATCCAGAGAAGGGGGGAAACAAACATCAGGGGCACAGTCCAGCCACTGCTGTGAACTGCCTGATCTAAACGTGATGGAACCAGAACTGGAAACCCTCAGCCTTTCATCCCCTCCCTCCTTGCCACAGTCTTCCAGCACTTACTAGTGTTTCTGAGGGCAGGAGGGGACTTTCTGAAGGGGGAGTGAACATGGGGAAAGAGGCTGAAGCCCAAGGGAGATAGGGTTGCTGAGTCACGGGTGTCTGAGTTGGAAAGGTGGGTAGACGAGGCTGAAAGAATGAAGTGATCTTTGCGACAAAAGGACAGGCTGGAAGGATCAGAAGTGTGAAAATGCGGGGTAGGTCACCGCATCTTAGGCCTTGTCTACACAAAGTAGCAGCGCTCTAACTACCCTGGTGAGGTTAAAGCGATACAGCTCCTCGAATGTGGACTCAGTTATATTGGTTTAGAGGTGCCTTGTACTGGTCTAGCCATTCCTGTGGGAAGGGGGATAAGCTATACACATAAGGCACCTTTATACTGATATAGTTGTGTCCACACTAGGAGTTATACTGATACAGCTATTTCAGCAGAAAAGAGACTAGTTAAGCCGGTATAAATCCTGGGCATACATAAAGCCATAGGCTGCAACATCAGCTGCATCAGACTGCAGAGCGTGAGTAACCAAACATGAGACTGGAACAGTAGAGCGTGTCACAGAAGAGGGAACATACGGGATAACTCAGTGGGATCAGAGAAGTAATGTGCTAGTTCCTTAAAACGGGCCAAATCTTCCTTGTCTTATTCATGCAAGTAGTACCAGTCGAGATAGTTAAGTCCAAAGGTGACTGTGAAGCGTTACAGAGGAGCTCACAAAACTGGGTGACTGGGCAACAAAATGGCAGATGAAATGCAACATTGATAAGTGCGAAGTAATGCACACCGGAAAACAATCCCAACTACACATGTATAATGATGGGTTCTAAATGAGCGGTTACCATTCAAGAAAGTGATATTGGAGTCATTGTGGATAGTTCTCTGCAAACTTCAGCTCAATGCACAGCAGCGATCAAAAAGGCTAACAGAATGTTAGGAGCTATTAGGAAAGGGATAGAAAACGAGACACAAAATATCATAATGCCACTATATAAATCTGTGGTACATCCACACCTGGAATACTGTGTCCAGTTCTGGTCGCCCTATTTCAGAAAGGATCTAGTGGAACAGGAAAAGGTTCAAAGAAGGTCAACAAAGATGATCCAGGGATGGAATGGCTTCCATACAAGGAGAGACTAAAAAGATTAGAGCTGTTCAACTTTGAAAAGAGATGATTAAGGGGGGGAGGGGATTATTGTAGAGGTCTATAAGATCTTGAATGGGATGGAAAAAAGTGTTATTTACCCTTTCCCACAATACAAAAACCAGGGGTCACCCTATGAAATTAATAGGCAGCAGGTTTTATATGAACAAGAGGAAGTACTTTTTCCACCCAAATTACAGTTAACCTCTGGAACTCATTGCAATGGGAAGTTGTGATGGCCAAAAGTATAAATGGCTTAAAAAAAACAAACAAATTTAATATGTCCCTCAAGGCTATTAGCCAAGATAGTCAGGGATGCAACCCCATGCTTGGGATGACCCTAAACTTCTGACTGCCAGAAAGCAGGAGGGCAAGATGGGGTGGATCTGTCCAAGACTGCCCTGTTCTGTACACTTCTCCTGAAGCTCTAGTACTGCCCACTGGTGGAGACAGGATACTGGGCTAGAGGGACCACTGAGCGGACCCCGTATGGCAGCTTTTGCGTTCTTATGTAGTCAGTGACACCACTTGCATGAGAAAGTTGAGGAAAAATTGGCCCATTCATTACAGTGAATGATTTCACAATCATAAGGGGTAAGGGCCGATGTAGCTGAGGCTGTCTTGTGCTGTCTGGGAACTCCCAACAGATCAGGGCACCTTACATCAGCTTCCCAATATAGAAAGGTCCTATAACAGTGACCCTCTCACTGTAGTCCTTGGAACACCAGTCGTCTATTGATTTTTTCTGGCTGTCCCACAGAATGAAACAATTTGAGAAGCAAGCAGTGGAAGGTTTGGGGTTAGGAGGTGATGTGATGGCTGGGAGGTTGGCACAGCAAGTGGGCCCATGGGGAAATCTCTCTCCCTCACCCAGTGGTCAGCACAACAGTAAAGTTGAAGTAAACCTGTCTGTAGAGCAGATAAAGCTGGGCTTCCCTATCAACCGAGCTGTGTAGCCTGAATGGGTGTTGCCTTGCACCCGCACTTGGCTGGAGGTCAGAACTTCGTAGATTGGAAGGAATTCAGGCACCCCAGACTTCAAAGAAAGGATGAAGAGAACCTGAGCCCAATCCAAAGTCCATGAAGTCAGTGGGAGTCTTTTCAATTATTTCAGTGGACTTTGGGTCAGGACCTTGATGAGTGAAGCTGCACAGCGACAGAGACTGTACACCACTGTGCTCCCCTGAACCCCTAGGGAGGGATAAAACTGAATCGGCCTGGGCAGACCCTACACCACAGAAATGGAGGTGCAGGATCAGGGTCTAGCTGAATGCAACGAGTGATGGACATAAAAACAGAGCAATCCTTGAAACTCTGCCCTACAGTGACCCTGTGATTTTTATTGAGCCTGGCACCGCTGCCCACACTCAGAGCTGGGTTCGTGGGTTAAACTCAGGCCGTTAAAGAGGCCTGAGCTCACAGACAAGTCACTTTGAGCTCTGCTGAATAACGTGAAAGCAGTCCTCACCTTACCCCCATGCTGTTCTGTCACTGTGGGGTCCGCAATTCTAAATGACTATCATCATCTTGGCTGTGTTTCCCGGTCTCTCAGGAAAGGGCCCATGGTAGAATATCATGGAAACATGGGGTGCACTCCCCTGGAAATGCCCCTCTCCTTGTATGGGATCTCATCTGTGAATGGAAGATGGGGCCATTAAACCTTGAATGGGCATTAGAAAAATGCCCCTTTGTGGTTTTAAATGAAAGCTTGGATTCTAATGAATACGGTGCAGTTTATTACTGTATTATGTAGCACCTAGAGAATCCAACTGAAATCAGAGCCCCGCTATGCGAGGGGCTGTGCAAACATATAACAAGAGAGAGTCCCTGCCCCAAAGACTTTACAATCTAAACAGACAAGGCAGACAAGGTAAGGATTATAATATCCCCATTTTCCAGGTGGGAAAACTGAGGCACAGAGGGAGTACATGTCTCACCCAGGATCACATGATGAGTCTGTTGAAGAGCCAGGAATTGAACCCAGGTCACCAGTGCCTTAGGTTTAGTTGCCGTCTATGTGACAGTCCTAATTCTGCAACTCTGGTCATGTTTCCGTGATTGCCAAAGATTAGTGATTTTGAGTATGTGCAAGTGTTTAATTGTGAATAGGGGTGTGACAGCGTGTGGACATGAGCAATGAGACACCATGATTAGGGTATGTGTGTGTGTGTGTGTGTGTGTGTGTGTGCATATTGCCATCTATTGTTTGTATTTAGAGATTCTATCTAAGCGCATGTCCAGGTGCATAACCGTGAGGCAGTGGAGTGATAGAAAGTGCCTCAGTAGATGCAGTTCTTTGCCTCAGTATAAAGCTGCCCTGGAGCTTTCAGCTGGCTCCAGATATCTTCAGCTGTTTTTCTTGTCATCAAGACCCGACCTTTGAGTCACCTTGAGCTGCATTCAGCTGCTGGTGTTCAGTCTGCTGTGGAAAGCTATGAATACTAAAGAGGCAGGAATGAAACTTTACCTCCCCAGCAGAGCTGGGAGCAAATGCCAGCTCTGCCCTGGGCCAGGATGGAGTTCAGCATTCACACACACACACACACACACACACACACACTTCCCCTTTTCCTCCAGTGAAATAACAATGCATTGGAGGAACCTAAATAAACAGAACCAGCTTCACAGCCCTGTTCATGCATCTCTCTCGTGCCCCTTTTCCATTTCTTCCCTCCCAACTTTCCTCCTTCTCCTCTCATTTATGGGCCATTTATCTGCTTCCAATCTCTCTCTCTCTTCTCCTTCACTGACATCCGGGCTCTCCCCCACTTTCATACTGTGCCGCCACTTTCTGATTGGCCAATCCTTTCTTTGACCCCTCTTCTAATTCCTCTTCTCTGCATGTCCACCAGTGGTGTATCTCCCCTTCCCTCCGATTTCCAGTTATTTTCCCAGCCCCCACCCCCATCTCTCTCCCACATCCACTGCCCCAAGCTCACTCAGATTTTTCTCCATCTAACCCATCTCTCTTTTCTTTTGGCATCCCCGTTTGAGCGTGGCTCTCTCCTGCTGCTCCTCCTCCTGATTTGTAGGCTTTAATTTTGGCCTTCTCCTATCTATCCATCCACCCCATCCTCGTTGCCATGGTATCGGAGCTCCTGAAGTCTATATTCCAGGGTTTTAATTCTTGTAGATCATTTGGCTTTGTGGTCAGCCCACCCGCGTAGCAGGATTTGCCAGGCAAAGCGTCTTCTACCATCCTCAGTTTACGTATTTTGGGGGGAAGAGGACCCTGCTCATCCCAGTTCCCTTTAACTGCCACCCACCCCAGCAAGGAGCACTTTAGGTTTAAGGTGGCTGGGATTGCTTCCCTGTGCACGCTGACCCAAACCCATCGGAATCTGGGTGGTATTCTGGATTAGGCAGCCAAAGGTGGTGACACAAGAAGGACTTTGCTAGGATCACCCCCACGGGCTTGGTGTGATCTCCCACACGCGTATGCTATTGCCAGACTAGCCCATGATGTAGCACTCAAAGGTCTTCCCAGTGCTAGGAGCTTTAGGGGCCAGGATATAAAACTGATCACATGGTAAATTCACAAGCTCCCTTTCCACCTCACCGGCTGCTCCAGTCCCCTAGCTTCATTCCACTCCTGACCTGCAGAGCATTGGCTAGCCAATGCTGACCCAGATGTGGTGAAAGGGACGCAGCGTGCACATGCGGTCTGCGTAGCACAGAGCAAAGGGGGAGGCTGGGGTCAGGCAAAGAGACTGTCTCAAGAGACATCAAGGAGGAGGGAAACAGCCCTTCCCAGGGGGGACAGGAGGAATCCTGGGGGTGAGAGGGGTAGCCCTCCTTCCCAGCAGGAGACCGAGGCTACAGGGACACAGTGGCTGCTGTGGAGATAGCTCCTCCCAGCGCAGGGTGTGGGAGGAGGTTTAACTGAGGCAGGTGAGGAGTCAGGAGGTGGACTGGGACAGACAGCAAGGAGCACTGTACAGTGTCTAATGGGGGAAGGTCAGCAGGTAAGGCAGCCTCTGAGCATGAGGCAGGGAGGACGCCAGGGATTAGTCATTCTGGGAACAGGTTCTAATCACGGATGCTGCCATGGCCTTGGACAAGTCCCGTAGGGCCTGAGCCTGCTGAAGTTAGTAGTTTTGCCACTTACTTCATCTGGAGCAGGGGAGAACACGACCTCTCGGCCTGTTTCCCCTCAGTCCCTTTGAAATAAAACCCGCCTAACTCACAGCGGTGCAAGGGGATTCGGCACCTAGGGTGTGCAAAATGCACTGAATGTGAAAGTGCCATATAAATGCTAACTGTGATTAGAGAGGGAGACTCGTCCCTGTGATGTGCAGACTATTTGCGTATATGTGTTTGTCAGTGCGCCTCTGTGTCTGTCTGTGTGTGCCCACGTGTGGGTTTGCTGCTGTGAATGTGTACTGATGCTGGCAAATGCGTGTTTCTCTGAACGTTTCTGCAGGTATGTTTGTGGGCATGAGGGTATGTGTGTGAATGAATGTTCATGCTTGCATGTTTATTTCAAAGGTGTGTGCACAAACACTGACCCAGAAGAGCCTCTCTCTGTGGGGGTGTGGGCTTGCATGTGTGTTTACATTTGGGTATGTTTATGGAGGAGCTCTGTGTGTGTTTCAGTGTATTGGTTTGCATGTCCCCTGCGCTCGCAGTCTTGGCTGTGTGCGTGCTTGCATGTTTGCATCTCTCTCTTACTGCACAGAGGGAAGGGAGGGCTCCAGGGAGGGCTATAAAATTGAAGATGTCTTACCAATTCTCTCCTCAGCCAGGCCAGCCTGTGCTCTAGATGCAGTTTCTGCTCCTCCTCCAGCTGCATTCTGGCAGCACAAAGCCACCAGGCAATCTGCCACCCTGCTGGCTGGGCACACTCACTGGCCTCCTAAGGACTCTGGGACATCTTCTCTCTGCTACCACCTCGTCCTTGAGCCAAGCGGAGTCTGCTGCACAAGCTCCGCAGCTTCCACTGTGCAGCAGCACCCAGCAGTGAGCAGAATAAAAGCAACTGGTGACTCAACTTTGAAAATGTGTTTTTTTTTACTGCGGCACTCCAAGCAAAGCAGGGAGGCAGCAGTGAGTCTTGCAAAACAACACCTGACCTCAAGTGCTTTGGCAGAGAACGCAGGAGAGGGCTCCTTGCCTCTGTCAAAAGAGAAAACAACTGAAGCTAAGCAAGAAAGCCAACAGCCTCGCTCTCTCTCACTGCAGATGCCCACCAGACGGGAAAAAGGAGCACACTGCAGCTGGGAGAGGAGTGCAGGAAAAATAAGAAGGGAGCTTGTTAGTCTGGTGGCAATGTTTCAAGTGCAATAGCTCAGGTTAACAAATGCAGAGAGTGGAGAGCAGAACAAACATCAGATGGATTTAGAAAAAAGAACAGGAGGACTTGTGGCACCTCAGAGAGGAACAAATGTATAGAGCATAAGCTTCATCGGATGCATAGAATGGAACATATAGTAAGAAGATCTATATATACATACAGAGAAGGTGGAAGTTGCCATACAAACTGTGAGAGGCTAATTAGTTAAGATGAGCTATTATCATCAGGAGAAGAAAACTTTTGTGGTGACAATCAAGATGGCCCATTTAGACAGTAGACAAGAAGGTGTGAGGATACTTAACTAGGGGAATAGATTCAATATGTGTAATGACCCAGCCACTCCCAGTCTCTATCTGGATTTAGTGCCTGTCCTAATTGCATAAAGCAGAGCTAAGAGAGGAAGCTAACTCTCTCAGAGATGTCAGCGGAGCATGCAGGCAGCGCCACGTGGATTGGCCACCAGAAGGTGAGAGAAAAGTCCTGTTGGGCCATCAGGTTCCGTTCTCCACAAGTCCAAGAGAGGGATGGCAACAGGCAGGAAGCTGATACCAGCATAAACAGGCCTGGTTCATCGCTGCACTACTCCATTTTTATTGCAGTGCAACTCAGCTGACGTCGTATGGGCTACACCAGCATACAGCTGGAGAGGCACACTGGTGAATCAGGCTCCAAGTGTAGACAGTGTCTACGTTCACACACATCTCAGGTACTTAGGTGGATCCCATCCCTGCAGTGTTTTAGCATCTCACAACACCCCCGTGGGGCACGGCAGGGCTGCTATCCACATTTTACAGATGGGAAACTGAGGCACAGAGAGGCTAAGTGACTTCCCTCGGTCTCAAAGGAAGGCTGTGGCAGAACAAGGAACGGAGCCTGGGTCTCCCAAGTCCAGGGTAGCACTCTAACCACTGAACCATCCTTCCCGGCTGTGCGTACACACAGGTGCCTTTATGCTGGGTGCCTAAAATGAAGATTTACAGTTCTGACCCACATCAGAGGACCTGGGATTGACTGGGGTGCACAGACACAGGGAGCCGTCAGCTGGGGACAAGACAGTTGAGAGCATCGTTTCTGCCTACAGCTCAAGGGCTCGAGGTGGGATTGTATTTGGGGAAGTGGAGCTCAGAGAGTGCTTCCTGGAAAGAAGAGCAGAGCATTAGTCACCGGTGAGCTGGAGTGAGCTCTCGGCCCTTCGCAGCAGCCACTTGTTAAAATCCTGCTGCCCTTTGGAAGGGAGAGTGAGGGATTTCTCTGCTTCTCGCGCCGCTCACTGTTCTGTGGATGCTGCTGTCCAGCCAGATGGCCCTTGAGCTCCTTGCTTCTGTGTTGCCTCCCTTTTTCTGTCCGTCTGTCTGCGGTGAACTCTTTGGCCTTATCTTGAGGAGGATTTTCTCAGTCCAGCTCCCCCAGTGCCAGCAAGGGCAGAAGTCACATTACCACCGCATTGCCTGTCCCTGCTCTGACCTGGATTTCCCCCAGGACTCAGAAACCCTTCCCAAGGACCAGTTGTTTGCTGTCAGAATGCACCCGAGTAGACCAAGGCCTGGCCGACACACTGGGTTGGGCTGGTATAACTATGGTGTTTGGGGGCGGGGTGTGATTTTTGTGCCTAGCTAGTTACACTAATACCCTAATACTGATTACAGCAGAGCCCCTTTCCTGCTGGCATGAGGGAGCGGCAGCGGGGGCTAATTTGAGTGAGTGGCACTGCGTCCCGGCACACGAGGTTGCATCACCACTCCAATTTGGCCACCCCTCCGTCAAGACAGAGGTGTGGCCAGGCCAAATGCATTAGCTATGCAAGGGGGCAGTACCCTTCCTGCTATTGTAATGGGGGGAGGGGCCTCCAAGTTGAAAGAAAATACTCAGGTGGGCTGCGATTCCACAAAAGTTGAACCCCCTCGTCTAGCGTGTTCCCCGTCCTGTATGGGAACTAGCTGGACTGGTATAACTGCATCCGGACTAGGTTGCTTTACCTAGGTCTTACTTCTGTGTGTAGACCAAGCTGAAGGGAAACAAATTCCAAAGCGAGGTTACAGGAAACTACTCCCTCCCCCAGATCTTTGTCCACCCTCCCCCATTTCACAGCTGCGACGCTGCGCTACATTCCAAAGCCTCCTGACGTTTGCGAGGAGCCAAATCTAGCTCTCCCCGTGAGCTGCACTTCCCGGGAGTTGGTTGGCCAAGTGGCATGGACTCGCTCCTTGGCCAAAGCCGTGACAAAGCCTTTTATTTAAGTGAGAAAACAACGGCATCGCTCTGCCAGTGCGTCCCTTCACCTCCTTCCTGCACCACTGGACACAGGATCTATCACAGACTGAGGAGGACAGTTGCCAGGGGAGGAAGGAAGTATAGGGGGAACCCCTGTACAAAACAGTCAAAGTAACAGGGGCACAAAGGAAGGAGAAAGTGTCCTGAATGTCAGAGCAGGAGGAAAGGTCCACAAGTGAAGAAAGGGCTGCATGAACCCGGTCCCCCGAGACCTTCTTGGTTGAAGTGTGGCAAGAGTGAGCTTGTTTCTTACAGCATGTGAAGAGGGAGGTTATGCTGCCACACACAGTGTTGTCTCTCCCAGTCCCTGTATGTTCATGGTTATAGAAAGAGCATTTCACTGCCATGTGTCACAGATCCAAGTTGTGCATTATAGGGCTGTGACTTTATCTTGCTTGTTGGCTCATCACTGCAGGCCAAGATTTTTCAGAAGTGACTAGTGATCTGCAGTGCCTCGATGCTTTGGGAGCTCAACTTGAGACACATGAAAGGGCCAAAGGGGGTTCCTGTCAATTCAGACCCTCATCAGTGTCATGAAGGCTCAGTTTCCCACACAGGGGATGGTCTCAAACAGAATACAAAGGTCCAAACCAAACCTGCCTTCCAGGAGACTGGTTCAACAGAGAGTCTCCAAAGACAAGTTACATCCCCACACTGGCACAGGAGAGTTGCTCAGCCTGAGGGTTTCCCTCAGCGCCCCTTCACATTAGACCAGTCAGTTTTCAAAACCTTCAGCCATCCAGAGCTTTCCTTCAGCTCTGCAAATAGATCTTCAAAACACCAGTTCCCCAGACCTTCACCCTGTAACCCTTCAGGTTGTAGGCATTCACCCCTTGGAGCAGGGGGGCCAGGAAATCAGGTCACCCCTCAGCTGCAGTGGTTCAGACCACCTCCTGGCAGCCTCCAGCCTGCTAAGCAGCATCTTTCCACAGCCCCCCTGAGGATTCTCTGCCAGGATGGACTTAACAGCCACAGCTGCTCCCCTTCAGCTCTCCCAGCAAAGCAGCTCCAATTTCACAGCCATACACTCTGCTTTAGTGAGAGCAAGGCTGCCTCTCTTATAGCCCAGCGGGCCAGGCTCTGAGTTGCCAGTTCCAGTCACAGGCTCTCCAAATCCTGGCCTTAAAGGGATGGAGACCTGGAACTGACAAGCTCGTGGTGCCTGGCCTTACAGGTTCAGCTTGCTCTGTTGTGGGGCCTGATTCTCAGAGGATGGTGCTCTCAGCTCTTTCAGACAATTGGGCCCTCTCTGGCTGGGCACCCAAAGTCACTTGTCACTTCTGAAAATGTTGGCCTCCATGTTCTGAGCCCCATAGAAAGCAGTTCACAGACCAAAACAGTGAGATAATAAATTAATCACTGCTTTGCTAGAGGGCATCTTGGCTGGAATTTTTTTATTACAATGAATTCAATATAATTAGTGTCTCTGTCTAGTCGATAGATCTGTCTCTTATGTCAGTATTTATCAGTCTATTCACACATTTATGCACACACTCTATCTACACATATTCCCATGTGGATGTATCATTCTGGATTAAGCATCTCCCCTGATCTACCTGGTTCTGAGGATCTTTTCCTAGCCCTAGGAATGTGTTGCTCTGGAAATCTATGTACATGTGGTTAACATATTGGGATGCACTTTTGTTTATTTTTAATTCCGCTTTTAAGGCCCCAGTTATGGATACATCCTGGGAAACAGCAGATTCTAGGCTCCTGGAAAGCGTTGTGAGATCTGACAAAGTACCAAGATGGAATTGGAAAAATGAGTGAGTGGCTGCATTGTATGATCAGGCAGCATACCACAAAATTCAATGCATATGTCTTTAAACAATACTGTCCTGCTCAGAGATGCACAGATTCCAAGGCCAGAAGGGATCACTGTGATCATCCAGTCTGGGCTCCTGTATAACACAGGCCAGAGGACTGCCCTGAAAGAATTCCTGACCTGACAAAAACAGAGACTGAAACCCCGTATCCATGGAACAGGTGCAAGGCAGCGAATGACTGTGCAAACCTCCCATACAATACCCCAGCATAGTGCCCCAGCCCCAACTTTGAGAGATTGCTTCTAGGGGTGAGAGGAAAGTTCAGTCTCCATTCCTAGTCAGTCCTTGGCCTCTCCATTAAGGCTATTTACATGGATGCCATTTAGTTCCGGCTACAGTGTGGCCATGTCTCTACTGCGTACTGGGCTGAGACCTGACGACTCAGTTAACAGAACTGGGTGCATCCCAGTCATATCAGAAAGTGCGACAAAGCAGCTAAAATCCCCCTCCCCCAAACATTAGCAATAGGGTTCGTTTGTTTGTTTTAAAAAAAGGCAAAGTTAAAGCTTATGCAGAGATGGATAATGAAGATAAAGGTAATCGTTAATCTTATGAACAGTAGTGACCATGGGCCAAATGTATCCATGGTGGAACTGTGTCAGATACAAACGAATTGCTCCTGAGATAAATGTGGTCTAATATTTTATTCTATTCTAGTTATTACACCACACTCATCAGCATGGTGTCAGAGCATCTACGTGTCAGTCTAAGAACTCTGTGTATTGTTATGGCCGAGGTTCTGAAGCTGCCTGAGAGATATCTCTGCATTACAGTGACTGGGCATTGGGGGTCTACATTCCCTGGGTGGCTTTGAATACCCCCAGGCCCCATATCATTGTGTATTTATGTCCACAACACAATCTCTAGGTACAGGTACTAAAACTAAAATAACACATAGTTTAGGAACAAATAAACTAAAGCACTCTCATGCCAGCAGGTCACCACAGGGATCGGGAAATGGAAGGGTTAACATCTGACATGTCTGGAATATGTCCAGTGCTATATGAAAAGCAGATAGCAGAAATCTGCGACGGAAGGTGCACGGGGGGGGGGGTGTGTGTCTCAGACTGTTCTAGGGCCCGGGGCATGGTCCTGCTGCTCTTCAGGGTGCATTGTGCCACGACGGGCATTATGCCCATCTTTTCTGTATGTTTAAACCTGCTGCCGGCTGTATGTTCCACTCCATGCATCTGAGGAAGTGAGGTTTAGCCCACGGAAAGCTTATGCCCAAATTCATGTGTTAGTCTCTAAGGTGCCACAGGGACTCCTCCTTGTCCTTGCTGATACAGACTAACAGGGCTGCCCCTCTGAAACCAGTGAGCAATTGCTTCATCACTGTACAGCTGGGAACTTGTAGGGGCTGATCCCACTGACATACATTGACTTAGTTTGCAGGAGCGGCGCTCTGGCCCCAACCCCTATGGGACCCGTCCCTGCTTTGAGTGACGGGAGAAATGACCCCTCTCTTCCCCACACTGGTCTCTGCGTCGCCCCCCAGCACACGCCCAGCGCCAGGGGTGGCAGTTCCCGGACTTTCTCCCCGGCAGGTCTCTCTCCCCAGCCGGGATCTGGTTCCATGCGCTTGGCCTGTCTCGCCTCTGAGCCTTGGCATCTGGCTTGGGGCTGGGCCCCGCAGCACCGTGCCCCCCCCCCCCCCAGCCCTGCACACACCGCTCCCTCTCCCTCCCCCCCCCCCCACAGCCCGCAGGTATGTGCCCTCATTGGCTTGTCTTCATCACCGCGCCCGCTCGGCCCCTCTGCCGGGCTCTCCGCAGCCGGCCCCATTGGCTGCCTGGCACAGAGGGGATGTCTCCCACCTGCTCCGCAGAGAGCCCCGTCCGGCCCACCGGAGCAGCCCGGGGGCCCGATCGCCTTGGGAAGGGTGGCTCTGGCTCTGCCCGGCCAGGTAGGCATCCCCGCGCCCCGGCCTTGCAGGGGCTCGTTGTCTGGCACCAGGTGCATGATTTGCTCCGTTGGGCGATTGCGTGAGAACCTGGCGGCGCCTTTGTTTACCGTCCCCGTTCCCTGGCTGGATTCTCGCCCCCACCCCCACCCCCAGCCAGCTTGCACGGATAGGCGATCCGGGCTCCGGCAGAGCCAGCTGGGGCAGGGAGGGGGACGGGACGCTGCTCCCCGCCGCGCCCCAGGGGACTGTGCCGCTTCCCGGGGCTGTGGCTGGTGGCTGAGTCGGGTGCTTTGGAGCAGGTGTGTCTGACGGTGCCAGGTCCTGGGGAATGTAGGGCAGCCGGGGCGGGGAGGGAGGAGGCTGGTGCTGAGCTGGGCGGGGGATTGCGTTACTTAACTCCCGGGGCTGGAAAGCACAGCCCCGCCGCCGTCCTGATCTCCATCCTTCCCGCGGAAGGGCACCGGGCGGCGGGGGGCTGCGAGATGAAAGCGGCCCGCTGCTGGCTGGGCACGACACGGGCCGGAGCAGCGGCCCCCCAGCACCCAGGGCGGGTGGCAAAGCGGGGCTCTCCCGCGGGCTGCCCTGAGCCCAGCCCGGCCCCTGGCGCAGCCAGCCCGCCAGGGCAGGTAGGAGAATAACAAGTGTGTGTGTGTGTAGGGGGGGCGGTGCCTTCTGCAGCCGGCCAGGGCTTCCCAATGCACCCGCGGCGGAGGCGCTGGGCGGTGACCCCCGGGCGGTCTGGCCGGCCCCTGGCCCGGGGGGCTGCATGGCCGTGGGGCGCTGGCTGCAGCTGGGGCGCTGGGGCGCGGAGGAAGCTCTGCCCTGCCCAGCGCTTCCCGAGCCCGGGGAGCTGCAGCTCGGCCGCGGGGAGCTGGCCCTGCCCCCGGGGCCCCTGCGGCTGCAGGGCGCGGCCGGGGAGCTGCGGGCCGTTCACAGCCCGGCCTGCGGGCCCGTCTCGTGTCTCCGCAGACCCGGCGCTGACGGGGATGCCCCGGGGAGCTGCTGGCCCATGGCGACTTCCTGCCCCCTGGAGCTGAGGAGCCTCGGGAAGGGCCCCGGGGCCAGCCGGGGAGCGGCGCCGCAGGGAGCCGGGGGCTGCTCAGCACCGCGGACAGCTCCCAGCGCCGGCCTGGACAACGCCTCCTACCAGGCGCCGGAGGAAGAGGAAACCTGGTTCCGGAGCCGCGAGGAGGCGGGGAGCGGCCCCCGAGGAGGCGCCGCCCGGCCCAGGGCGCAGCGCGGAGACCTCTCGCCCCGGTCGGAGGATGGGCCCCTGCCAGAGCCCGCTGGCCACTCCGTGGACTGTGGGTTCATTTCGGCCTTGATCTTCCTCGTGAGCGGGATCGTGCTGGTGGTGATCGCCTACACCATCCCCCGCCAGCCCCGGGTGGACCCCGCCGCAGTGACGGCCCGGGAGATGGAGAGGCTGGAGATGTACTACGCGCGCCTGGGCTCCCACTTGGACAAGTGTATCATCGCAGGGCTGGGCTTGCTGACCTTGGGGGGCATGCTGCTCTCCGTGCTGCTGCTGGTCTCCATCTACAAAGGGGAGCTGTACCGGAGACGGACCTTCCCGGGCTCCAGGGGGCCAAGGAAAACCTACGGATCTATAAATCTGAGACTGAGGCAACTCAATGGCGATGGGGGACAATCCTTGGTAGAGAATGAAGTCATCCAGGTGACAGAGACTACAATTGTCAGCCAGGGTTCTTAGACCCCTCACTCCTGCTGTTTCAGCTTGGGCCTTCACTCTTCCTCTTTAGGTGAACAAACTGATAAAAGGGGTTTTTTAACTGTTCAACATGGAGGTTTTACATTAACTCCATACCTCAGAGCAGAGTAGGACTATTGGACTTTCACGAAAATATCTGGGAGCAAAAGCAGACGTTGAAAATGCAGATCAGACACTCACCTGACTATTGAATATAACTAAGTACCTAGTCCAGCAGGCTTTTGGAAACCAACTGTTTCTTTTTTTATTTCATTTTGGGAAGAGCTGCTTTCCTAAGCCCTAACATCAGAATGAAAGAAAACTTCAAGATATCTGGAAGTTCTCTGTGCCATGTACAATACTGTAACCCCATGACCTTTGACTGATGTGCAGCCAAGGGTAGCCTGCAGTAATGAGCACAGCCAAAGTTACATATCGGTGGTCCTCTGCTAGGTGATTTATGGAACACAAAGCACATTTGGAGTCTGTGTTTTGTGTTTTGTTTTTTTATGTCAGGTATAATTTCCAGCAGTCAACAACTTTTTAGCAATAGTTAATTGTAAAACTTGTGTGGCATAGAATCTGAGCTTTCACTGTTCCTAACTAAAAGGGAAGAATATGTGGAAAAAGTGACCATTTTTACAAGTTATGTGAATATAAAAGACTTCTCCAATCCTTCACAATATTTGCATTGCACCTATCCTACTTCTGAAAGCAGGACAGAGACCTGGAAAACACACAATCCTCACTCCACCTGCCAGTCACACCAGCAAATCCACAGTCCTCAAGCCTTTACAAAAAAAAAAAAAAATCTGGTTCTTTGTCCAGAAGAAAAAACAAAACAGAAAAACGACTTGCATTTTAAACAGTTTCCAGATTTTCGTTTTAATTGAACTGGTCTTCCCCATTCAGAAGTCTGAGTCTGGTCATTTGTGCTGATGCCAGGAGACATGGTGTGCAATTAGGAGATGAAGTAACATTTTGGCAATAAAACCTGAAATATAAGTAAAGCACAATATTTTGCATAGAGAGAGAAAACACCAGTGTCAGGAGGAAGTTTAAAAGTGGAATTAGATCGGAAAGTAATCCCAACAAAAGGTGACATTTGCAGTGTACTGCAATAAATATATCATATATAATAGTATATAAATAAATATATACTATTAATGGCTTCATTCAAATGTGCCCAGGCACATACAAATACATATTTAAATAGCCAAACAAAAATGCTTACAAGCAAAAAAATAATTTTGCTTGTGACAGATTTGCTCATGTCATATTTTATTTCAGTGCTTCCAAAAGTTATCCCTAAAATAATGATCAAAGTTCTCCAGCTTTTGGGGGTTTGTCAATACACAGGCAGGTATTTTTCCTAGCAGTTTGAGGTTGGTTCTTGCTATCATTGTAAAGATACAGGGCCAAACTATGGTCTCTATCACCCTGGGAAAAAAACTCCATTGAAGTACCACATTCTTTAATGGTCTCCAGAAGTCATGATCTGTGTGTCGTTAATTACATCTCATATGCCGTGTTCTTTAACTCTCTGTCAAGCATTTAGAAGTCTTGGTGAAATCCTGCTAAACACCTGATCCAAAACCACACTGAAGTCAATAGGAGTCTTTCCGTTATCTTCACTGGGCTTTGGATCAAGACCCTAGCCTCTGGAGCTTGAGCCTCCTTCTGCTGAAATCAGTGGGAACCAGCAGTGCAGTCCTTACTCAGACCTCCTATGCCAACATTGTTGGGGAGGTTTGCTTGAGGAAGGTCTGCAGGACAGTAAACAGCGTGCACATCAGTGACTGAGGTTAAAATCAGTGGGCCAAATCAGTGCAGGTGTTGAGCAAGTGCCATGCCCACTGAAGTCAATCAGCCTGACCCTGTCAGGTGCAGACCAGTAACTGACACTGGTATCAGTAGGAGATCAGGGCCCTAAGTGCTTCCCAGAAGGTTCAGAATCAGGCTCAATGGGAGTGGATTTGGCCCCTTGGGATTAGTCATGTGAATAAAGGGCGCAGGAATCTGGCCCTAGGCTATAAACCTGATATAAGAACACAAAATCCACTTCCAATGGATGTCTGGATTAAAGACTAAACCGCTCCAATTAATTAAAAGAACCCCCGGAATACCAAATTACAGTGACAAGGAGACCAGTTCCGAGAATAAACCTGTTAAAGGAATAAAACTGTGATCATCAATTTCTATTACTTTAAATAAGATAAAATGCTTCTTAAGTGATGAAAGGATGAACCTGTTAGGAGATTAGATCTGCTGAACACCTGATTTATGTGAGTATAAGAAGGACTCCATTTGTATTATAACATAAGACTGTTTAAGAAGAGAATTTAATGGAATCAGGCTGTCATTGCTTTCTCTGTGTATTAATGTGTTATCCCTTAAGGAGGTCTGGAGGATGGGGAAGAAATCCCCTTGATTGAAATATAAATATTTAGGATGAATGAAGTGTATCTAGGGAAATAGTCCATTAGAGAGAGAGGCTGCAGCATCAGACATCTCGAGGAATTGAGAAAGATTTTTTTGAAAAAGTCAGCCAGATGCTGGTAAACTATAATGTGTACTCAATTTAAAGCCTCTCATTTTGCTGGCAAACATTCACCTCACATATGAGCACAGGTATCCACACGCGTCCAGCACTTGCTCTTTTTTACATTGTGCTTTACTTCTATTTTCTCTTTTCTTTGTTCTGGTCTTTGCCCAGTGATTTATTTGTTGAATTCATAAGATGGAGGAGAAAACCAACCCAGAGCGCTTGAAGCTATGGACTAAGCTGAATAATGGACAACAATGTATTTAGCAAGTGATAATAAAACCCACAAACCTTCTAAAGTGAAGGGAAAATCTGTTCCTTGGCTGGGAAAATTTTTGATCTTAAGGCCAGAGCTGAAGGCCAGAGCTGATTTCTATTAGCTTGGGAGTCAGATAGGCCCTAGAGCCAAGGATCAGGGTTTATTTGATTCTTTTAGGGCAGGAAGTGAGTTTCCCTCACTTTTTCCACCCACTTAAATAAAATCACTGGCTGTCATATTGGAAGGAACTTTGCAATCACTCTGCAAGACTCTTGACTATAGAGAGTCTTAATTCTGAAGTGGAATGAACCAAAATGAAACAGATCTCCACCTCAGTCTGTTTCACATGCCAGTTACATTGTCAGATCCTTTCACATTTACATGTAAAACCAGGTTTGTTTGTAAATGGGTAATTTTTTTCTGTCATGAGTTCTCCAGTAAGAGAAAAATAGAAGTTATCATGAGAAACAAGAAAAGGGCTATTTAATCAAGGCCTCCCTGCAATCTTTGCTGATTAGAATTTGTGGATTTCTGCCTTAGGAGTATAAAAAGAAAGAGTGCATGCATGATTGAGTGCTGGATTGTGTGGTGGTTTGCAGAGCTGCACTTTACCATTACGGTACAGCAGCTGATCAGATGGGATCTGCCTTCCAGGGGCTATATTCTCCTGCAGCAGGATTCAAGTAACTTCCATTTACCTTAATAGGAATTACTAATATCCTGCAGAGGGAGAACAGAATACTCTTAGTGACCAAAATGGGGCCTGTGGATTTGGCCAATGGAATTGGGCCACCGTCAATATTAACGGAGTGGGGAGGCTCATGCCAATCGCATTCCTGGCTGCACGTATCAGGTTGGAGCATTGCATGCAGGACCTGTGGTCTTCACCCAGTATACCATATTAAAGATAAAGACAGCTGCCATCTGCTCCAGTTTATGCAAGTTATGCAGAGTTTGTGGCAGTTGCTAACATAACCGTTGGATAACTGCTGTTTAGAAGCCATCGGGAGCTGCAGAAAGAATTGGTTCTAGAAGTGAGTGAGATTAAAACGTTCTTGAGTTATAAGGCACTAGACAGCATGGGTATGTGGGGATCCAGGGCACTGCACTGCATGGGAATGAGGGGACACAGGGCACTGCAGAGTATGGGAATGAGGGGACACGGCACGGCACTGCACTGCATGGGAATAAGGGGATCCAGGGCAATACAGAGCACGGGAATGAGGGACCAGGGCACTGCAGAGCATGGGAATGTGGGGTTCCAGGGCACTGCAGAGCATGGGAATGCGGGGTTCCAGGGAACTACATGAGGACTGTTGCATAAGGGAAGTGCATCTTGGAGCCTTAAGCCCCTTGTTCTGAAGTTTAGGGAGAGAGGGGTTGATTCTCTGTTGCCCTGCACCTTGCACAGTCATTTACATGTGTGCAAAGTGGGTTAAATGTCTATCCAAGGTGTGAAAGACCAAAGACCACCACTGGTGAAAATGAACCCCTTCCCCACCATATCTCAGAACACAGGGCTGCCGCTCGTCTGGCCTTTGCAATGCTACTAGAGGCACAATGGGACAGAAAGGGCCAAGTTTCCAAACTGACTCTGCATTTGCACCTGCAGCTTTGCCTTAAACAGCCATATAATCAACTGTGGCTTGGTCTGCTCATGCCATCTGGCTTAAGCAATGGCTTGTGTGAAGGTGTTGGAGTCAGAGCTTCCTTCAAACTCCTGATCTATAAACTGCTCCCCCAACTGACTGTCTTGCTCACTGCAGATCAGCCTTGGTGGGAAATCACGCCAGGCCTTTCTTGAGAGCCGTGCCTTATGCCTTCAGTCAGGAGGGGTGTTTGGAACACCTGGCAGGTTTGGGAAACCACGTCAGGCTTTTCTTACTGACTTCTCCTCTTCAGCCATTTCCCCTGTTGCTGGCTTGACCACCCTTATGGGTGTTCTCGTGTGAGACCGAATGGGGGTGAAAAACCTAGCTGAAATCTTGGAAGGCATTCTTGGGGCCCAGTCTGATGTAGCTGAAGGGGTCTGTTCACTCCCCTGCCTTATGAACCCCCATCTTCCCCCAGCCTCTCATGGGGGATGATCCAATAGTGGCCTTGGTTATTTCAGAGAGGAATGAAGACTCATTTGGCCAATATAAAAGAACTGTGAACTCTTTGTTTTCCTGTTTGTGCCATAGTCACTTGCTTCTTTCTCTCCCGCGATGATACCAGGGGCATACAGTTACTGAAGCAGCCACATGTTGTGAGAGCTTTCTGCCTTGAGGAACGTCTCCATGTCCTTTATCGTAAGCTAGAGCGATTAACAGGGAGCCGTGCAGAGCAGATGGATTTCTAGCTGGGGTTTCTCGAAACAGTGCACTTATTTATTTATTTATTTATTTGCTGTTGTTTTCCTTGGACAAATTAAAATTATTGATAAAACACTCAGTCAATTTTCTGCCCTTTGGACACGCCTGCCTGTGGAGTGATCCCGTACGATTGTTTTGCTCTCTAGAACTTTGGTTGTGTGCTGGCGTCCGTTTCAGAACCGATTGGAGTGAAATGCTTGATATTGCCGGGGAGAGCCAGGCGCAGGGCCTGATCCTGCTCCCATTGAAGTCACTGTGAGCTTTGCCACTGACTACAGTCGGAGTAGGACTGGGCCCATAAAGGAAGCTGGGTGGGGCAAGTGCCCTCGTACAACCCTGTCAATGCCTTTCTGTCCTGACCCGTAGCCTCCCCTCTCTTCTTGCGGCAGGGTGGGAGCAAGGCACTGGGGGATTCTTTACCAGCCAGCGCCAGGTTGTGGACAAAGCTGAGATGTTGAGAACAAAATGAATCAAGACACCCAAGGATGTGAAGAGAAGAAATTCTTACATTGCCTCTATACCAATGCTAGGAGCTTGGTACTAAACAAGAGGAACTGGAATTGCGTATTTGTGAGCATAAATTTGATCTAGTTGGTTTTACTGACACCTGCTAGGAAGATTCATGTTAAAATCAAAGTCTGTCACCTTTTTAGGAAGGTTAGAGTGGGCAAAAGGGGAGGGGGACAAGCACTTCATGTCAAAAATGGCATTTCCTGTTTCTGAGTCACTGCTAACACGGAAGAAAATGATCCTGAATGCTTATGGTCCCAGAGCAGGACCAATCCCAACTAAATCATCCCAGCCAGGGCTTTGTCAAGGCTGACCTTAAAAACTTCTAAGGAAGGGGATTCCACCACCTCCCTAGGTAACGCATTCCAGTGTTTCACCACCCTCCTAGTGAAAAAGTTTTTCCTAATATCCAACCTAAGAACAGGTTGGATCAGGAACAGGCTCCTTATACACCTCTCTAGAATGTGTGGGAGGAAGAAGGACAATTTCACAAAGCTGAAAACTATTACAAGCCAAATCAGCTGGGAGGAAGAATTCAATCCAGAAAATGTGAATGACAAGTAGGAATTGTTTAAGAACACCTTATTAAATGCTCAGAAAGCCACAATCAAGGAAGAAGGCCATGTCAATTAAAAATTGATCTGGTTTAGAGGGAAAATGAAGGCAGTTCTAAAAATTTTTATATAAAACAAATGGAAGAAAGAGGAAGTTAATAGTAATGTATATAAATCAGAAACTAGGAATTATAGAAAATTGTTAAAGGAAGTAAAGGGATGCAAGGAGAACTCTATGGCCAGCAGCATTAAGGACAATAAGGTGCTTTAAAATATTTTAGGAACAAAAGGAATCCTAAAAATGGTATTGGTCTATTACTAGATGAAAATGATAGAATTATCAATAATAATGAAGAAAAGGCAGAATTGTTCAATAAATATTTCTGTCCTATATTGGGGGGGAAACTGATGATGCAGTCATATCATATAACAACACTCTTTCCATCCTACTAGTATCTCAGGAGGATGTTAAAGAGTAGCTACTAAAGTTAGACATTTTTAAATGAGCAGGTCTGGATAACTTGAATCAAAGAGTTTTATAAGAACTGGCTGAGGAGTTCACTGGACCTTCAATGTTGATTTTCAGTAAGTCTTGGAACAGAGGGGAAGTTCCAGAAGACTGAAAGAACGCTCTTGTTATACCAATATGTAAAAAGGGTAAATGGGCTGAGAGTTCCTTTAGCTCAGAAGTGCAGCACACTGGCAGGGCAGGACTGGGACACTTGTTCCTGTCCAGGCTGGATTGATTTCAGGGATGAACAGAGGGTTGAAGAGGTCTGGGCTGTCTCCTTTCCAAAGCGCTGCACTCACAGGAGGAGTTTAACTGCTGCCTCAGCCATGTCTCGCTCAACCAGAAGCGATGGACTCAGTGCAGGAATTATGCTCTCTGGCCTGGATTATGCAGGAGGTCAGACAAGATGAGCGTAATGGTCCCTTCTGGCCTTGACATCTACAAATGCAGGCCTCTGAAGAGCCACAGACACAAACCGCGTGATAGGCATAGCGATTAATAAAGAGAAATCGTTTATTTCGGTTCCAGTCTCTCTAGGCACTTATAACACAGGGAGCACAGTGTTAGCAGGTGAACTACAGCGTGTACAAGAGAGGAGAACAGGAGAGCGAGCTGGCGAGCTGTTGGGGAAAAGAGACAGGCAGAGGGAGTCAGGAAGCCACCAGGGAGCATCTGGATAGCGCACGGAGAGGGGATCTCTCTAGGGGGGCTAAGGGGTACTGAAGACAAGGGAGGAATGGGAGATTTCAGGGAGGACATAGTAGGAAGAGATGTGACGATGGAAAGGGAGTAGCAAGGCCTGTGACAAGACCCATCTCTCTAACTCAGCGTTTCTCAAACTTCATTGCACCACGACCCTCTTCTGACAACAAAAATTACTACATGGGGGGGGGGCGGGCGAAGCTCATGTCACTTCTTTGCCGTTGCAGAGAATCGAAGGCTTTCCCATCTGTCTGACTCAGCGAGTGCTGTGTGAGCACTGCAGGGGGCTTTGAAAAGCACAAACATACAGTGATGGTTTGAAATCCGCCTTCCAGAGAGCTGGGCGGCTGAGGAGCCCGACAGCTGTCCAGGGGGCGTTCTGTAATCCCCGTGGGCAGAGGGTCTGCGGGATAAGCAGCCGCAGGAACTGTTCTCTGTCACAGATCACATGCCCGGCAGGGGCTGAGGAAATGGGACTCGGAGGCAGGCAGCCCGAAGGGTCCTCTAGTGACCTTCAGCTATCGCCACGACTCTGGCGAGTGTGGTTCTTAGAACATAAAGTGCCTTGTCTCTGAGCCAGGGAGCAGTAGGGCTGTTTCCTCATTGCCTGCGGCCTGAGCCTCAGCAGCAGGGTGTTTATTGTCCAGCCTCCGTCTGCCTTAATGGCCTATCCGTACAATTAAACTGTATCCCGTGACCTGGTCCTTTACACACTCATCTGTTCAGGGCAGGCCCTCACCCGTACATGGCCTCCGAAACGTCCGGGACACAGCTAATCCCAACTCCTGCTGGAAGCAGTGGGCTGCAGGCGATTCCATTCCATCCCACCCACGCCATGCTGAGCCACAGACCCATTCGTGGTTTAGGGAAGACTAGGGAGCCCAAGCAGATTTATTATTAAGGCAAGTGTGATGCTGCTCTGAGAGGTGATGCTGCTAAAATGGACAGGTGTATGTGTTCGCTCCAGGGTTAGTGTCTTGTTATTGGTCATTGTTTTTAACAATGGTCTTTTGTATTATGGTAGCCTCTAGGAACCACAGTCATGGAGCAGGACCCCACTGAACTGGGCTTTGCACAAAGGGAGGGTAGTCCCAGCTCAGCTAGGGATACCTGTTTGCCCCGGGGTCACAGGTCTCACACCCAGCTGCCCCAGGCAGTCTTCGCGAATGAGGTCGGCTCCTCGTTTAAAAAAGGGAAGAAGGAGGATCCTGGGAACTACAGGCCAGTCAGCCTCACCTCAGTCCCTGGAAAAATCATGGAGCAGGTCCCCAAGGAATCAATTCTGAAGCACTTAGAGGAGAGGAAAGTGATCAGGAACAGTCAGCATGGATTCACCAAGGGCAAGTCATGCCTGACTAATCTAATTGCCTTCTGTGACGAGATAACTGACTCTGTGGATGAGGGGAAAGCAGTGGACGTGTTATTCCTTGACTTTAGTGAAGCTTTTGACACGGTCTCCCACAGTATTCTTGCCAGCAAGTTAAAGAAGTATGGGCTGGATGAATGGACTATAAGGTGGATAGAAAGCTGGCTAGACTGTCAGGCTCAACAGGTAGTGATCAATGGCTCCATGTCTAGTTGGCAGCCGGTATCAAGCGGAGTGCCCCAAGGGTCGGTCCTGGGGCCGGTTTTGTTCAATATCTTCATTAATGATCTGGAGGATGGTGTGGATTGCACCCTCAACAAGTTTGCAGATGACACTAAACTGGGAGGAGAGGTAGATACGCTGGAGGGTAGGGATAGGATACAGAGGGACCTAGACAAATTAGAGGATTGAGCCAAAGGAAATCTGATGAGGTTCAACAAGTGCAGAGTCCTGCACTTAGGACGGAAGAATCCCATGCACTGCTACAGACTAGGGACCGAATGGCTCGGCAGCAGTTCTGCAGAAAAGGACCGAGGGCTTACAGTGGACGAGAAGCTGGATATGAGTCAGCAGTGTGCCTTTGTTGCCAAGAAGGCCAATGGCATTTGCGGATGTATAGGTAGGGACATTGCCAGCAGATCGAGGGACGTGATCGTTCCCCTCTATTCGACATTGGTGAGGCCTCATCTGGAGTACTGTGTCCAGGTTTGGGCCCCACACTTCAAGAAGGATGTGGATAAATTAGAGAGAGTCCAGCGGAGGGCAACAAAAATGATTAGGGGACTGGAACACATGACTTATGAGGAGAGGCTGAGGGAACTGGGATTGTTTAGTCTGCGGAAGAGAAGAATGAGGGGGGATTTGATAGCTGCTTTCAACTACCTGAAAGGGGGTTCCAAAGACGATGGAGCTCGGCTGTTCTCAGTGGTGGCTGATGACAGAACGAGGAGTAATGGTCTCAAGTTGCAGTGGGGGAGGTTTAGGTTGGATATTAGGAAAAACTTTTTCACTAGGAGGGTTGTGAAACACTGGAATGGGTTACCTAAGGAGGTGGTGGAATCTCCTTCCTTTGAGGTTTTTAAGGTCAGGCTTGACAAAGCCCTGGCTGGGGTGAGTTAGTTGGGATTGGTCCTGTTTTGAGCAGGGGGTTGGACTAGATGACCTCCTGAGGTCCCTTCCAACCCTGATATTCTATGATTCAGACCAGGGCCACTACCCACTCCCAGCAGCTCCCTGGAACCAGTGAGCAGGGGGGCTAGCGGAGCTATCTTACCAACGGCTCCACCCACAAAACTCCTGAGTGAGGAAAGCATCCAGCCCCACCACTTGGCTTAGATGAACTACTTAAGCCAGCAGGTGGCATAGGAAGTTGTCTGAGCAACTAGGTGGATCCCCGGTTGGCTGCTAGCCACTTTTGACACTACCTACTTGC